AATGGGAATCATCCACTTCCGATAATTGGGTCAGGAACACTGTCAAATTCGGCCTCTCCCTTGAGTTTCAGTCTCCTCCTCCGGAGCATTTTATGGTTTCCCCTCTTTCCAGAGACCGCACCAAGCGTGCTCTCGTAGAAGCTGTGATTAAATACCTTTCTGAGATCAGGGCCATATAGCCTGTGCCATCCTCGCAGCGAGGAAAGAGGTTTTACTCCCACCTTTTCTTGGTTCCTAAGCATTCCGGAGGCTGGAGACCCATTCTAGATTTAAAGAGTCTTAACCGTTACATTGTCCGTCATAAGTTCAAGATGCATACTCTTCAGTCTATACTTCAGGGCACCAGGGAGGGAGACTGGCTCACCTCCACTGACCTTTCAGAAGCTTACCTTCACATCCCTATTCATCCCTCGTTTTTTCAATTTCTGCGATTTTGGTACAACGGCTAGCATTTTCAGTAGATGGCACTCCTCTTTGGTCTAGCCTCTGCCTCAAGGACCTTTACCAAGGTTCTGGCAGCCCTTGTGGCTCACCTCAGGAATTTCCTCATCCGCATTCACTGCTACCTGGATGATATCTTCATCCTCTCCCCTACCAAAGACCAATCTGAGAGGGACACTAGAACCACTCTCTCGGTTCTTCAGTCCCATGGTCTTCTCGTAAATTGGGAGAAGAGCCAACTTTCCCCCTCCACCCGGATAGCTCACTTAGGGACAGTTATTGACTCAGTTAAAGGTAAGGTCTTTCTTTCCCCTGAGAGGCTTCTCAGCATCCGGAAGTCCGTCAGGGAGGTTAGACGCGCAAGAAAAGCATCCTTACTGAGTCTATCAAAGTTGCTTGGCAAATTGGTCTCATGCATATCCATTGTTCCCTGGGCCCGTCTACATACCAGATCTCTGCAGTGGTTCCTGCTACCCTATCAACGCTCCGGAAGAAGCAACTCAAGAGCCGTGGTGAAAGTTCCTCCAAAGGTCCTCGCTTCGCTCCTCTGGTGGACCAGGCCTGCTACCAACAAGGGACATCTCTTCAAGGAGCCCCAAAGAGTCGTTCTCACTACAGATGCCAGCCTATCCGGATGGGGGGCTCACGTCCATTCTCTTTCAGCCCAGGGCACTTGGTCAACACTCGAGCAACATTGCAGTATCAACTGGCTGGAGCTCCACCCAGTCTACTGAGCTCTACGCACGTTTCACCCTCAGGTGTGCGGGCGTCACATACTGGTCCTGATGGACAATATTACAACCAAGGCTCACATCAACCATCAAGGGGGCATACATTCCATTCGACTCATGAAAGAGGCCGAGTGGCTCTGTCGCTGGGCAGAGTCCAACCTCTTATCCATCAGGGCAGACCATATCTCGGGGGTCTCAAACGTTCAGTCAGACTGGTTGAGCAGGGCCACCCTAGACCAGTCAGAATGGCGCCTGCACCCCTCCCTGTTCAAGGAGGCCTCAGCGATATTCGGTCATCCACTGCTGGATCTGTTCGCATCTCCGCTCAACGCCCAGACTCCCAGATTCTTCTCACGCTACCCCACCCAGGAAGCGGAGAATCACGATGCCCTACACTGCCCATGGCCCACAGGGCTCTTATACGCTTCCCTCCCTTTCCGCTGATCCCCAAAGTGATCCAGAAGTTGATCCTCGAGAGGGCGGAAGTTCTACTGGTCACCCCGTACTGGCCCAGGAGACTGTGGTTTGCGGACCTTCACAGCCTTTCGGTGGCCCCTCCTTGGAGGATTCCGCCAGACAGGGTCTCTCTATCCCAGGGACCTCTTCAGCATCCAAACTCGCAGTGGCTTCAGCTAACTGTCTGGAGGTTGAGCGGGACCATCTAAAAAAGGAAGGCTTGTCCAATCAGGTCATCAGTACCATTCTGGCAGCAAGACGGCCTTCGACCACCCGCATATACAATGCCACCTGGAACAGCTTTTGTAAATGGTGCCACAAGTCGCTCATCAATCCACTTTCCCCATCAATCGCACAAATTTTGGCCTTCCTACAGGATGGGCTGGACAGGGGCCTCTCCCCCAATACCTTGAGAAGGCAGGTGGCAGCGTTATCAACTGTTGTCTCTGGCAATTCTTCTGGCTCGCTCTCGCACCACCCGCGTATCCGAGCATTTCTTAGAGGTGCCACCAATCTGCACCTTCCTGTGATCCACAGATACCCGACTTGGGACCTTAATAAGATGCTCACGGCACTGACCAAACCTCCCTTTGAGCCCCTGAGGGAGGCGTCTCTGCAATTCCTTACGTTTAAAGTGGTGTTCCTTGTAGCTGTCACATCGGCAAGACAGATATCTGAAATAGCAGCTCTATCCGTTAGAAAGGATCTCTGCGTTTTCCACGCTGACCGGGTGGTCTTGCAACCAGATCCTTCCTTCTTACCCAAGGTCAACTCCGCTTTCCACAGATCACAGGAACTTATCCTGCCTAATTTTTGCCCCAGACCTTCTCGAGAAAGGGAACGGCAGTGGCACACTCTTGATGTCCGACGGGCGCTTCATATATATATTCATCGTACTCTTCCTTTCAGGAAGTCAGAGTCATTGTTCCTGTCATTTCAACCAAAGACGCTGGGTTTCAGAGTATTCCCATCTACTGTAGGCCGTTGGACCAGAGCTACAATCTCCAAGGCCTATTTAACACAGGCGCTTCCTGTTCCTAGTGGAATTACCACACATTCTACAAGGAGTGCAGCTACCTCAGCAGCCTGGGCTACCCAGGCTCCGATAATTGATATCTGCCGAGCAGCCACATGGGCGTCTCCGTCTCCCTTTATTCGCCATTATAAAATTGATGTCTTTGCTTCAGTAGAAGCATCCTTTGGCAGGCGAGTCCTTCAACAAGTGGTTAGAGACCCAGAGGAGATTCTGGCCCAGATGGAGTCCCTCCCGTAGGACAGGCCATGCTTTGGTATGTCCCACTCTGGATGCTCGCAGCAGCTCTATGGAGAATGGGCGTTGGTCCTTACCTGATACGCCCTTTCTTGTTGAGCTGCGTAGAGCATCCAGCCCCACCCTAATTTGTCCGTCTGGTGGGGAATCCTGTTTCGGCCAATGATTCAAGCAGTTTATAGTTGAGAGTTGTTCAAACACTAAGATGAGGGGATGCAATTCTGTCTTCTCGTCTTCGTAAAACTGGGGAACGCTACGGAGGAGTCACGTGGAGGAGTAGGAGCGTTCCTCAATTATAGCTCAGCCTGTGAGAGCAAAGACTGGAGCACCTCCCACTCTGGATGCTCTACGCAGCTCGACGAGAAAGGGCGTATCAGGTAAGGACCAATGCCCATTTCCTACATCTATGCATTCTCTAGTATCTGTGCTGAAATAGAATATTTTTGTCTTGTTGTTCATTTATTCATATCATCTATTGATTAGAATTAATGGTTCATTTCTATGCTTCTGTTTATTCTTATTTACCACAAAGAACAAGAGTAGAGAATACATTATCAACTAAGAAAATATACTTTAGATCATTGCTCCACTGCAGTTGAGGCAGCACTAATGCAGATTAAGAATCTTTATTCTACTAGAATCTACTATTATCTCTCTTATCCTTGAAACATATGTGGGCAGTGCCAAGTGCATTGATGCATGTGGGAGAACATGTCCGGCAATGACAATCTTTTGGTTCCATTTACTGCTGCTAGTTGTCTGTTGGATCAACCTCTTCTTTCCAGTCTCAGATCTGTCTGCTATCCCTCAGTTCTCTTTGAGCTGTTAGGTAAATTGGAACCCTGGTTTCTACAGCCATTCTGCACACACCCTTCCCCCTTTGGATTAGTCAATTGGTTGATGGAGTTTCAAGTCCTGAAATTGACTAACCTGTTCTTGGATTCTCACAAGTAATTCGAAGTGTAATGGAAAGAACTTATCTTTCAAATTTCTGTAGCTCACCTTGACAGGGAATTTTCTTCTCAATTATTACAGTTCACAAGAGCTTTGCTCCTTACTACCTCTTCAAGTAATATTCTTGGGGAGCTTACAGCTCCCCACAGAACCCATTTCTCAAACTTCAGGTTTTCATCACCCCCTATCCAATTGCTGTCCAAATCCAGATGATCAGTTCACTACAAAGATCATTAGATGGCAGCAAACAGATACAAAACCTTTCACTATAATCAGTCAACTCATAGTTTCAAGGATTTAAAACAAAACAAAACAACAAACAGTTCAATTAGTTGACGATATGACAGGAGAGAAGAAACAAAATGATTGCAATTTTGGAGGAACCAAAGTGTTATGTATACAACTTGGAGTGGGCTTTTCACAGGTTGATGAGTGGGGCTGGAATTTCAGCCAAGGAACTGCCTGTCATGCCCCTTAGCAAGTTCCCCATTAAATCTTTGGAGATAGCTATGCTGCATGAGACTTTTCCAAGTATGTGGTAAGGATGGCATTGTGGTGGCAGCCAGATTTCAGGGCAGCCAAATTTCTTGCCCATTCTAAGCAAATAGAATGCAGATATGCAGATATGGTCTCTTTCCTGTCTCCTGTACAGAGGTGGATTTATAAACTGTACAGAAGCGGAGTGATAACTCAACAAGACGTCCATAACAAAGAACATTTATTGGTTCATCAGGTATCCTCATAACTCACGTTTGTGACGAAGTTCTTTTATGACCAATCCTTTGTATATCTGCCTTGTAGGTAAAAGATGGTTATCTCCTAACCCATCTCGTAGCGGTAGAAAAAGCTACTATCAGTTCATAAGTCCAGGCAAGAATGGAGGGAAACTTCCCCCAACCCTCAAGGGTCAATTTAGTGACCAATCAGGATTACAGATGTAGCCACGTGACATGAACTGCATTTCCCAGGATACCTTTAACTACATTTACCATGATGCATTCCCTTAAGGGGACAGCTCATAATTCCTAAGTAGCTATCCAATTCCCATAGACTGGCTGGGACAGCACAGTCTCAGACTTTGCTGAGATAAAATTAATATTACTGTACCTTTCTGGTTTTGATTTCTGTTAATCTTTTTTCTCTTATAGGTGGTTTTTTGAAGCATTGGGGTATTCTAAAGCTTCAAAAGCTAACATCATAAATGGACTGCTAATGACCATCATGTTCTTCCTAGGGAGGATCATAGTCATTCCAATTTATTACAACAGTATGGCTTCTGAGTTTGGAACAGAAGCCTACTACAGATTAGGATTTGTAGCTCAAACGGCCTGGATTGTCTCCAGTATCATATTGGATATTATAAACTTAATGTGGATGGTCAAAATTACACGAGGATGTTACAAGGTTATTCGTCTCATTGGACAAGAAGAAGCCAAAACTCATAAAAATGGGAAATCTGACAACACGAAGAAGAACATTTAATAGCAATTCGGAGTACGTTAAAAGAACAATGGACACTTTTGCTATAAAAAGTTCCTCTTAAGGAAATATAAAGTTACCTTTCTTAAATTTAGGATTTCCGATAACACACTGCTTGGATCTCCAAAAACTTTTTCATCCGAAGACGTGGATTGTGTGGAGTCAGAAACAGCAACAACATGCTGCATATGTTGGCAGCCTTGGCAGGGTGTCCTAAGCATTGAATTTTAGCACTATATTCCTGTAAATTTTCACTCAGGTTTCTTAAAATGATACGTTTTTAATGCTTGTGAATGTCAGGTTGTTTACATTCTGCTAATACGGCAACATTTCTGGCATGTTTCTCGGCTTCCCTAATATTTGGTGTTCATATCTTATCTGCTTTGCAAATTACTCATTTTGGATCTATACATTTTACTCCTTTTTCTACTGCCTTACGTGCATGACCAGGATCTTTGAGATTCATTGACTAGTTTTACATACAAATACGAATTTGAGCTTGAAGATCTTTTTTCTTAACTGATTGTTTTTATTGCTTCTTACTGTGTATAAAAATGGTATAGATGTTTTGAACTTTTTAAATATCCAAATTTCAGCATCTTTGCATGGGAAATAGTAGGGAGATTTTTTTTAAAAAAAATGTGCCAGTATTCTGTTTCCCTGACCCAAGTATTGGGACTTTGATCTGTTTTCAGCGTTTTATCATGTAACAGACAAATTTTATGCTATTAAAAACCCCTGAGAGGTAAAGCATTAATGAATTTTGGACATGTGGATAGTCACAAGACCCTCTTTACTAATCAGTTCATTTTAACTTTTCTCAATTTTTCTTTTAATACAATTTAGGAAAATGTGCTTCTCCAATGAGAAAAATCACCCTTCAGCTCTTGACAATGGATACTTGCAGAAACATCGCTAATATTTATTTATTTATTTATTTGTGTATTTATTTAGTCCTATCTGTTCTGTTTTAGTTCTAGCAACTCAAGATGGTCTATATAGTATCCTTAGTATGGTCAAAATAAAAGTTAGACAATCACTAATTAAAAAGGACATTACAATAATAGTCTAGTTTCACCACCTTTGCTGAAAAGTGTTTGGACCAGGTTGGTCTTAAATTTTTTGCAAAGGAAAAACAAATAGGCTCTGCATCTCAGGGATCAAGATATTCCACAGAGTGGGAGAATATATACTTCTGGTTCCCACTCCTTTCACATCATGCAAATGGGAGACCCTTTGCCACCTTTCTAGGAACGGTATTATAGGATGACTGATTCTATTCCAGAGACATGTACAGATGCTGAACTGTGTCATACATTATATAAGTTACAGTTTGTATCTTCAACTGGGCCCCGAAATCTATTGACAGCCAACGAAGTGAGTATGAGTCTTTTGCTACTAAATCCATTCCCTTTTTTTAATAGCTAGGTTGATGCAGTTTGGCTCAGTTGCAGCTTCCAAGTCATTTTCAAGTTCGGTCCTACATAAAATACATTGCAGTAGTCTAACTGTGAGGTAACAAGGGCATGAATCATAGTTGCAAATACAAAGTGAGAAGGGAAAATTTGTAAGAAAAACAAAATAATTGGAAATCTATGGTTTACATTAACTTCACATATGCTCTCTATTATTATGGACTCAAGTTTATCTTATATTGTAATATATTAAATTGAACTTAATCAAATCATCATCCAACATATTTTTAATGATATTTACCACTTACTCATCTAACACATATTTTGTTTTGAATAGCATATATCCTAATTTACTGCTGGCTTGTTTATTGGCATATTGGGAGATTGCAGAGAACTGCTTATTTTCCCCATCAATGCAACGTCATTATGTTCTTGATATTCTAGAATATTATACAAGCACAGAGGTACTGTTTAGCAAAAGCTTATTCATAGGTTGATGACTGTAATAGCAAATGTTGATTTGCACATCCCATTTTAAACTCCTCAGATATTTCAAAACATGTCAAACACAGTAAATCAAATCTGACATATCAGATTTACACTCAGGAACCATATTTTGTTGTTGATTAGGTGGCTGGTAAGAAGGGAAATCTCCATATTTCATCAACAAGAGTTACAGAACTTTCAGCAACACTCAGTTGAAATTCCGTGTGTTAGTGTATGAATGGTGGCAGTTCACGTATTCAACTCTGAGATTTTAAACATAAAATATTAGTATTAACTTTTTATCGTAAAATGAGAAAAAAATGGAAAAGCTTTAGAAAAAAAGGTTTATTTACAATTCATAGTTATAAATACAGTAATTCATTTAATCTCATTAAATTTAATAAACTTTATTATTAAAGCATATGGTTTCACACTATCTTAATATATTCTGCAGTTGTTTGAGATTTGAGAAATGTTTTGAAATTTAAAATTCATTTTTGAACATTATAGCAAACAGTAAACTGTTTAACAGAGTTCAAGTTAATTAAACAAAGCCACCTTTAATTAATTCTTTTTCTAAACATCAGTTTAAATTACTGATCAGTATACCCTGAAGCAACTGGTGCTATCAAGTATGGAGTATTTTGTAGCATTATCTGTATTTATAAGCAATGTGCTCCAGAAGACCACCTTCTTGCCCTAATTTTAAACTATATAGTTGGACCTTAGAGAGTTTTAGAATACAGTTTAGTGCACTTTTGCAGTGTCAAGTAGTAACAATATTGGAGATTCAGACGGACAAGAGCCAATCACTCAGTAGTACATTTAACCACTGGCATAATTTCATATAATCTCCCTGACCTATGGGAGACAGTTTGTGCTAATTGTACTTTCTGACTTTAAAACAGAGGATAAGATGGAACATGATTAAACTGAAAAAAAGGGTATCACAACAACATATTAATTTCCTATGTAACCTGAGAGTAAGTAGGTGTTTGATATAGTTCAAGAAAAAACACAGCCAAACCTCCAAGTAGCTTGATGAGAATTTGGTTTCTGAAGCTTTGAAAAATGAGCTTTCCTGTCTTGAATGAGAGAATGCACAAAATAATATATTAGTACCCAGTGGCCTCTCTATAATGCATGCTAGTAACTATAAATCAAATGTTGAAAAATTATCAAGCAATTTATTTAAAGTGTGACTTGAATTAAAGTTTTAATGACTGATCCTATGTCCACCCTAGGGTACATCGGAGCTCTTATCTAGAGAAAATATATCTGTCCTAAAAAGGCATTAATAGCTGAGGTTGTTGGCTTTTTGAAATAATTTGTAAAGTGCCATCATTATCTTACAAATTGACATAGTAACTTGTACCTTTTTTTAGGGAGGAAAAACAAATGTGTTTATTTGTGGTGAAATATGAAAAGGGACTTACATTAGTAGGAGCATAATCCCTCAGCTATTTTGAGAGACTAATTACAACGGGAAATCAATTGGCTTATGTAAAGATTCAGGATAATACTATTTGATTATATTAAAAAATGTTATTGTTAACAAACAATTGTTAATCTAAGAATGCAATAAAAAGCAGTATTAAAAATTTGTGCTCCATTGGACTACTGAATGAGTTAGGCAATATAATTATCTTTACTCTAAAATAAATCTCACAAAGCCCAATATAATTTACTGCTTAGCATGCATATTACAAGTTGTAGCATGTATAGTCTTTTCAACTACTCCCACTCATTTCAGAAGACTTTAACACTGAAAACACTGATAATATTACAGTGTTACTGGTAGGATTAATATCAGAACTAATCTACTATTTTACAAAATTAACCATGATTAAGTACAATACAGTAACACAGGTTTTATAAGTCAATCCTCTATGTTATTTTGAAGTAAAGATTAGACATGAATATACTAATTCGTTTTATTATTTTAGCAAGGATAATTTTGTTATGGAAAACTGAAAAAGGCAACATGATTGGGTAGTTTATCTTGGTTAGTTTCTTCTTTGTAAACTGTCATGGAGTTCATAGACTATTTTAAGGAAGACGCTCATCTGAATATCTTAGCATAACTTAAGGAAATTTTTGAAAGGGAAGATTTTGAATACCCTTTTCTCTCTGAAATCATTTGTGTACTCTAAAAAGCTGCTTTGGAGAAACATAAGGCTACCCTGAACAATGTGGGATTGGATGGGAGAATTTGTCCGAAATTATATTTGGTTCTCAGATGTCAATTTGAGGAAGGTAAGTGAAGGAAAGTTTCTTTGTTAGATTCAAAAGCGACTTCTGAAACTCTACAGAGAACAAAATTAGTTTCTGAGAAAAGAAAGGAACAGGATATTTTCACAGGTTTCCTTAAATTATGTTAGGGTTACTGTGCATATAGCCTTCTGATCAAAACTGCATAAAATTCATGTATTCATTCTGATGCTATTGTCCAACATTTCTGTGCAATATAAAGACAATGTGGTAGCAAATAAACATGCAAAAATAACTACAATGGATTCTATTTCAAAAGTTGACATGTCAGTTATGGCTAGGATTTCTCTGCCCACACATAATTTACACATGCACCCTGTCCCTCCCTATCCATATTGTAAGAAAGGATTTGAACTTGCATTTAACATCAACAGAAGTGCAGTTGAAGTGAAGGTGATGGTTATCTATTAATTCCTGTATGAACCGATTATTTGTAGGACTGCCTGTCTCTAGTTGTATTGTTCCTCTGTCCTGTAAATCATTTGGCTGGACCCAGGAATACCACTTCCATGGCAAATGCCTGGCTCTCGAATGATCTTCCCTGAGATTCAGTTGGTCCTGATTCTGCTAGCTTTACACAAGGCATTAAAATACTGGCTTTCAGGCTGGGATGTTAGATCTGTCCTCTTTGGGAGATGGTATGGTGTGGGATAACAGCCAGATTGTATGTTTTGTTGTTATTGTTGACTACAGTTAACCATGTCTTTTTAGCTGTTCCTTGGCAAGTTGACAGCCTTATAAATTGATTAAATATCTCCTCCTCCTCCTTAGAACTTGACTAACTTTATTGTCACTTTGAATATGCACCAATTGGCATACATTAAAATGAAATTTCATTGCATGCAGCTCCCAAAGGATCACTATGTCCAATCTCCTCCTCTTCCTCCGCCTTTGATAACAGAGAAGGCTTTAACTTTTCCTATTTCTATTTCAATGACCCATGTTAACTTCCTATACTCCATGCTTAATATCTAGACATAGTACCATGCTATGTATTCCAGTAATAGCTTGGTCCTCCTATCCCACCTCATGGGAAGTTGAAGTATTAATCTCATGCAATTTTGAGGAGGATGATATGGAATGTCAAAATCATACTTATTGCTAATGTATGGAATCTCATTGATTTGCTGAAATGAAATCCCTATTAAAAAAATTAATCCCATTGATGTTCTATTTAGA